GATGTTTAACAATATTATGGATTTTTTAAATTTAAATTAAGCAACTGTGTGTTTCATGAACAAACCTTGTTCTTCCAGTTTCTTTATCGAGTACTCTAGTAAAAGTATTTTGTTGTTTTTCCCATTCCTCCTTTGTCATCGGAGCCAAACTTTTAGATTTTTCTTGTAGAATTTCATTAATTAATGATTTATCGGGACCCTCCTCATTTTTTTTCAAAATCAATTCTTTATTCACTTCATTTTTTAATAATTTCAATGCTTTTTTTTCCTTTTTTTTTCGTTTTTCTTTCTTTTTTATTTTCTTAAGTTTTTTCTTTAATTTTCTCCTGATTTCTTCATCTATAGAAGAAATCGAAGAATTTGAACTGCTCGTTGTTCTTTTACGTTTTTTTTTATTTTTATGCTTCTCTGAATTCTTTCCCATTCAGGTAAAAATAAATTATTAAACAAAAGAAATAATGTAAATAGAATAATATGATTTATTTTCTAACATTTTTAAAAATTATTTTTTTTATAATTACATAAAAAAAAAAATTAACTTTGACAAACAAATATTGCTCTCGTCTGTAAATTTACAGTAAATGGAAGTAAAATAAGCTAATAAATAATTATTATTGTACTTTTTCTTAAAAGTAATTTTAAATTGATATAAAATTTTCGTTTTTTAAAAATTAATCATTATTATTATTATATCCTTTTTAACTGAAAATTCTTTCGGCGAACGAATAAACTAATGGTTTATGTTTCAAGAAAAAAAAGTTTTGAAACTGTTTGAAAACTTTTCTTTTAATATGATTGACTTTGAACGCCCTGTTTGACCCGGTCATTTAAAAGTCAACAGCTGAGGTGATTTGTTGAGAAAGTTGTGTTGAAAATTATTTATTACAAAAAAAATATTTTTTTTTATATCGTAAGTATTAAAATTTAATTAATTTTCTTTTTTTTTTCAAAATTTTTTTCGCTGTAAAAGTTTTATTATTTATTAATAATATTTAATAATAGAATTTTAAAAATATTTTTATAATTTTACATTGTAAACTTATGTTTCATATACTTTGTACTTAATTTAAAAATTTTTAATTTTCTTAGCCCTTTTTAAATACATTAGATTTTATAGTTATGCAATTAGTTAAATAAAATAATTTTACATAGCAGAGTTAATAAATATATAATTTTTTTTGTATTACAATAAAAAAAATAAAAATTAATTGAAATTAATTTTATTTCCACTACTACACATTTATTAATACTGAATGTTAACCAAAGTTCATTTATTGCAAATAAATTATTATTATCTATATTTAGCAAATTTATAATCGAATGGCACAATATATTAATCTTTTAAATGTATTCAAAAATTTAAAGAGCTGTAGGGAAAACATTTTGTTGTTAAAATTTTTAAAAAAATTATCATTAACTGATTAAACAACTTCAATTTAAAATTATACACTGCATAATTTTTTTTAAATTTAATTTTCAAAATTGTAAGAAAAAAATAATTTTTATCGACTCGTAAAGTTGCAAAATGTATTAAATTGATATTTCTAAAAACAAACCAATTATGCAAGTGCTAAAAAATTAATTTAAATTAAATTTAAATTAAAAAATTTCTTTTTCGAATATAGAGTATAAGCTAGATGCACATTATCGCAAGGTTTACAATCCATAAATTTACTTAATTAATTAAAAATGTTTTTTTTTTTTTGAATTTAGTATTTAAAACATTATTATTAAAAAAAAAAAAAAAGAAGCCAAAACCCAAAAACTAGGTTATTTATAGCTTGAAAATAAAAGAAAGTTAAATTTTTATAATTAAAAAAATAAAAAACATATATATATAGAAATTTCAAATGTGATCATTTCGTAAAATCAATTCTCGAAAACAATTTAACCAAATTTGTAATCACCCATAAGTTTAAAAATTGAAAATTTTTTTTTTTTTGTTTAAATCTAAAGAAAAATATTATTTAATAATTTTTGCAATTCCGACTGATAAGCTTTCATATTTTTAAATGCTTAATTAAATTATTAAAGTCAAGGACTTGATCTAGTGATGTAGAGACCCCCAGGGGTTTAATTTCATTTCATATTATTATTACAAGTGATTTAACTTTTTTTCTCGATGCAAACAAACAAATCAAGTTTATGTTAACAAGGTATATATTATACCAAAAAAAAAAATGTTAATTTTAAAAATTTCTCTTTCTTAAAAAAAGAAAGTTTTCCAATGAAGTCTTTATTACCTAATATTGATTTTTAACATAATTTACTCAACAACAAAAAAATTCGATTAGGACATTAAACCTCAGTTAATTTTGCAATGTTTCACGGTTATTACAAACTAATTATTGTTAATTTAAAAAATGATATAAACTTACCATTTTTTTTTATGTATAATGATTCACTTTTGTAAACGAATAACCGAAAGTTAAACTTTGTAAAAATAATAATAATAGCGATCACAACAATTTAAACAGAATTCACTATTTAAAAATAATATTAAAAAAAAATTTTTCTTTCAGTTATAATTCAACATGTCTACTCACTTCAATTACCCTCCGTTAGCTTTGCAAGAGGAATTGAAAAAAATTGCAGAAGCCATCGTGTCACCTGGTAAAGGAATTTTGGCGGCAGATGAATCTACTGCAACGATCGGTAAACGGTTGAGCGAAATCGGAGTTGAAAACATCGAAGAAAATAGAAGAAAGTGAGTATTATATATAAATACTGAAAAAAAAAAAACAATTATTATTATCTTATTTTAAATATTAACTCGTTTAAGAAAAAACAAAAAGAATTTTCCCGACATTTTAACCGGTTTACAAAACTGGAAAAATTAAGAAAAACTTATCGTCTGCTTCATTCCTCTCTTTTAATTAATATTTTACTTCCGCTTTATAATTAACATTTAGTCGAAATATGTAAATCTTTTACCTTTTTTTCTTTTTTTTTCTTCTGTATCTTAATTATTTCTTAAAAGGAAAATAAAATTAAAAATTGGCATGCATCGTAAAATAATAATAATAATAATAAACTTTTCTTTTACAATAGCATTTTTCTTTCCTTTTTTTTTTTTTTAACCGACTTTATATGTAAGAAGAAGGCGCAAAAAAAAGAAAAAATTTAAATTTAAATTAAAATTTAAAAGTAATTTGGCCCTAGAACTTACATATGTATAAAAAATTATGTTGACCAGATATCGTCAGCTATTGTTTTCTTTTGCGCCCGAACTAGTCGAGAATCTCAGCGGAGTAATACTCTTCCATGAAACCGTTTACCAAAATGCAGACGACGGGACTCCCTTCATCGAACTCCTACGCCAGAGAAATATTATTCCTGGCATTAAAGTCGATAAAGGCGTTGTTCCTTTGTTTGGAAGCGAAGACGAATGCACAACCCAAGGTAAATGAATTGGTGGTTCGGTTCTTTTCCCATACTTTTCCCTCCCTGTCCCAAATAGAAAATTTGAAAATGTTTGTGTATATATATATAAAGGAAAAGAATCGATCCACCAAAACAAATATTAATTTCAATTTATTTTACGTTTTTTTTTTTTTTTTCTTTCTCTTTCTCTCTCTCTCTCTTCTTGTTGTTCTTCTTTCGTTCTTCTTTATCGTACCACGAGGCTTCGTCAACTTCTTTTTACCAGCGCACCCGGACAATTGGGAAAAAATATTTCGGCCGTTATTCTTTTCCACGAAACTCTTTATCAAAAAACTGCCGATGGAAAACCATTCGTTCAAGTTCTTAAAGAACAAGGAATCATTCCTGGAATAAAAACCGATAAGGGAACGGTTCCGTTGTTCAACACCGAAGGGGAAACTACAACCCAAGGTTTGACAATCGAGGGATTAGATAAATGTGATAAATCGGTCGGAGGGGGACAAACTTTTACCTTTTTCTCTTTCCTTTTTCACTTTCCTTTTTTCCTTTTTTTCTTCTCTTTTCATTCAATTAAGGAGCGTTTGTTTGTGTTTGTGATGAAAATTTCACAAAATGTCCTGTGAATCTGTATTGTAATAGTAATCATCAGATTAATTTCAAAATCTTTTATTGGTCATCTAAATGTCATCATTATGAGGAAATTTATGTTTATCATGACGTCATCACCGTTGTTTACTTTTCGACTGTTTTTCCTGTTGGAATATGTAACCTTCTCGTATATCCTTGGGATAATGTTGCATAACATGATTGTTAACTTTTTTGCCTTGTTCACATGGGATATTTATTTATGTATGTGCTTGTCTTGTATATACATTTCATTCTAATACTTTAAGCTTTTTTCTGTAAATGAAAAAAAAAAAAAAACAAAAAAACAAAAATTTTTTATGCTTTTACAATTAAATTAAAATTTACTAAAAAAAAAAATTGTTTGCAATTTAGGATTAGACGATTTGGCTCAAAGATGTATTCAGTACAAAAAGGATGGATGTCACTTTGCAAAATGGAGATGCGTTCTTAAAATTGGACCCAACACTCCATCGGCTCAGGCAATCAACGAAAACGCAAATGTTTTGGCTCGTTACGCATCCATATGTCAAGCCAACAGGATAGTGCCTATCGTGGAACCCGAGGTTACAATTAATTTATATAAAATAATTTTTAAACGGAAAATAAAAAATAAAAAGTTGATGACAGTTTTACCATTTTTTCTGTTTTCAGGTTTTACCCGATGGCGATCACGATTTAGAGAGAGCTCAAAAAGTGACAGAAACAGTTTTAGCCGCCGTATACAAAGCTTTAAACGATCATCACGTGTATTTGGAAGGAACTTTGCTTAAACCGAACATGGTCACACCGGGTCAATCGTGCAAAACGAAATACACGGCGGAAGATGTAGCAAAAGCAACGGTGACGGCTCTTCAAAGAACGGTTCCAGCAGCAGTTCCAGGTCGTAATTTTTCACCGTTACGATCGTTTAACGTTCGGTAACGTTCTGACAATTAATTGATTTTTTTTTTTTTTTTTTTATTCACAGGGATAACTTTCTTATCCGGTGGTCAATCCGAAGAAGAAGCTTCCGTACATTTAGATGCTATCAACAGATATCCGGGAAAGAAACCTTGGGCTTTAACTTTCAGTTACGGACGTGCCTTGCAAGCTTCCGTTCTCAGAGCCTGGGAAGGAAAAGATGAAAACGTTAAAACTGCTCAAGACGAACTCGCCAAACGTGCTAAGGTAATGATGATGATGATGATGATGACGATGATGTTAATAAGAAGAAATCATTTAAAGCGTACAAAAAAATTGATTTTTTGCACGAGTTTTACCTTTTTTTTTTCTGTAGCTTCAAACTATCAATTAATAGTTTTTCTTTTTTAGGCCAATGGTCTTGCATGCGTTGGCCAATATAGAGCCGGCTCTGTCTTTAGTTTGCAAGGAAACAAATCAAACTTTGTGCAACAGCACACTTATTAAATTCTTTCACATTCTTTAGCTTGACTAATATTTCTTCTAATCTCTCTCTCTCTCTCTTTCTCACTAATATATATATATATCAGCGTAAGTAAAAATTTTAACTAATAATGATAATAATAATAAATTAGTTTAAATGTGTACGACGACATAACGAATGCACCGCAAAAATTAACTTTGCATGCAAAACACACACGCTGTCGTCTTGCTGCTGTGCAACAGCATCACATTTTTTTCTTTTTTAAAATGATACCTTTTTATTAATAATGATTTTGTTTTTTTTTCTTTTTCTTTCTTCCATATTACAGGCAAACGGTGATGCATCATTAGGAAAATACAAAGCAGGCGAATACGTCGGTGCGGCTAGTAATACTAATCTTTTCGTAGCAGGTCATGCATACTAAAAACAACAAAAAAAAAAAAAAAAAACAATTAAAAAGTCGATACAAACTCTCTCATTTTTTTTTAAACCTATATTAAATTATATATATATATATATATTTATAATATTTTCATATAAAAATAATAAATGAGAATAAGCAAATAAAAAATATGACGTCACATCCTTTTCCTTTTTACGCGCAGGTGTCCAAAAAAATTAACAAAAAATAAACAAATAATATTTTATTTATACAAAAAAAAAAAAAAAAAAAAAGAAAAGAAAATTTTCTCACATTCATATTTCATTCACAAAAATTTAAGGGGGAAAAATATATATATATATATGTAAATGCCGTGAAATTGTTATTATTATTATTATTATTATTATTATTATTAATATCATCACCGGTTTACAACCTATCAAACATGAGACAAATTTCAAAAGTAGAGACCGTTTTTTTTTTTTACATAAAAAATATTTTTTTTTTTTAGTTTAAATGTTTATCAACAAATTGCCTTTCTTAATAAAATATATAATTTTATTATTATTATTATTAATTATTATTATCACTATCACTACTAATACTACTACTACTACTACAACAATAACAATTCCTGCAATTGGTTATTATTTTGTAATTTTTTTATGTGCGCTCGTTTCACATATTAGATAGAAGACAATTTGTTTGTTTGTTCGTTTGTTTGTTTGTTTGTTTTATTATTATAAAAATAAAATAAAAAAAACAAACAAACAAACGCGTTGAAAATAAATAATTTCAATCAAATAATATTATGTACAAAATAATTTGTTTTCTCTTTTTTCTCTTTTTACTTCTATAACGAATTACTATTAATTTAATATTATTAATAATAATGATAATAATAATAATAATAATAATAATTACAGAGTTTTCATATTATTTTTTATTTTATATTTGATTGACACCATCAAATTAACGAAAAAAAAAAAAAAAACAAAGAAAAACAAAAAAAAAAAGAAAAGATAAAAAATAAGTGACAAAAACCTTAATAATAACAATAATAATAATAATAATGATAATAATAATGGTAATAAACGTAACAAATTACAAAATCATTATTATCAAACGATTACTATATAACCTCTCATCATAAGTTTTAATTAATTTAAAATTAAAATTTTTTAATACACAAAAAAAATCTTGCTTTCCCCCCCTCTCCCAAATCTAAAAAAAAATGTTTTGTTTTTCTTTTTCCCTGTCCTTCCCCCCCCCCGATTAAAAAATTTAATTTTTTTTCTCCCTCTTACTAATTATTATTATTATTACTATTATTATCATTTTAAAAAAAAAACACATTAAACATTTTCGTCACGGACGCAATTTTTTCATCATCATTATTATTATTACTATTATTATTATCATTATTATTAGTTACAATCATAATTAATCAAACGAGATAACTTTTCAACCGACAATTTTTCCGCCATATTTAATAATTAATTAATTTTTTAACATTATTTTCATTTAATTTTTTTGTTTTCATCAAATTTTCAGTTTTTTGTTTTTATTTACAAAGGTCAGAAAATCAAATATATATATATAAATAATAATAATAATAATAAATAATAAATAATAATAATAATAATAACCGTGTGAAAATTATTAAAATTAAATGAATAAAACTTTTAAACGTTAAACTTTTACTATAATCATCATCATCATCATCATCATCATTATATTTTTTTAATTAACAATAACGTTAAGGTTAAAACGGCATCGAATTCATTAATAATAATAATAAAAATAATAATAATAATAATAATAATAAATTGTGTACAAATTTTGGAAAATTTTTTTTTTTTTTGTTTTTCTAGCAAATTAATTTTATAATTAATTGAATCATTAATTGACAAGAACGCGTACAAAAAAACAATATCATCATTATCATTATTATTATTATTATTTTAAACATTAATTTCATCACTCGGTAAGGGGTAAACACACGCACTCACACACACACACACACACAAACATGCTCAAACATTATCGATTTTTTTCTTCCCTCCGCTCCCCTCCACTCCCCCCCATTTATCTCCTCGCAAATTATACATTTATCATTATTATCATTACTATTTAATTCTCAACCCGAAAACAATAAATTAAACAAAAAGAAAAAGAAAATTTACCATGCCTTGTCACTAACACGTCATCATCGTTCGCATGATGACGTAATAAAAAAAACCGTTATTAAAGGAAAATTCGAAAATTTTCTTTTTCTTTTAATCTTCATAATAATAATAATAATAATAATCGGGTTGAGAAATTGTAACGAAACAAAAAAAAATTCTTTTCTTTCTAAAAAAAAAACATTTGAGCCGTTACCGGTGGGGAGGGGGGAAGAAAAAAAAAAAAAAGAAAATCAGCCATTTTTTTTTTCCTTTTAAACTCTATATATATTAAATGCAGTCCTTTATTTCAAAGTCCTCGTTTGGTAAAATATTAAAGCCTAATTATAATTTTTTCCCTTTTTCTCCTCCTCTTCCTCCTTTTCCTCCTCTTACTCCTCCTCCTTATCCAACTTCCTTTTCTTTTCTTCTTCTTTAAGTAAATTTTATCATCATTATTATTATTATTATTTCCTTTTAAATTAACGAATTTATTCTTCAGTCTTGATCAAGTAACCAAAATTCACCTAAAGAAAGAAAAAATGATAAAAAAAAAAAAAAAAAAAAAAAACATCAAATACTAAAAACTAATAAAAAAACCGGAAGTGAAACCATTTAATTTTTTTCTTATTTAAATTTCGAGTGAAACTTTTTTCCCCGCCCTTCCGGATCCGGAAGTGACGTCATTTCCTTTATTTTCCCCCTTCATCGTAACGAATCTTTTGTAATAACGTCCTTTTGTCACCATTTTTTTTTCTTTTTTTGTTTAAAAAACTATCAATAATGGCGGCCGTAGTAGCAAATAAATTATTATCATTATGTTTTCATACAAAATACATAAATAAATAATAATAATAAATAAATAAATAAATAAAAAACGGTTTTAAATCAGATTTGAGTCAGAAAATTATATTTCTTAAGAAGTATTTATTACAACGATAAAAATTAAATTATTATTATTATTATTATTATTATTATTATTAATTATTATTATTAATATTATTAAACGTACCATCATCAAATTATCTTTTTTTTTTTTATTTTTCGTGAACTTTTTTTTTTGTGTTTAATTAATAACGGGAGCTGAATTTTGCTGAATTCTTTCCAACTCTTCAACGCTCACCATGTTTACCGTCGAATCGGATTTTCCATTTTTCGTTTGGGCCTGAGCTTGGGCCAATAGTTCGGGTGTGAACCAGTGGGCCAATTGATTCGAACCCGTTGGAGATGTCGATAAATCTCCATCTCCGCCATTTGGAGGCATGAATTGAGGAAAGGAATTACGAATGGCTAAACAAAACGAAAAAAAAAAAAAAAAAAAAAAATTGCATTAAATCGTTTTGAAAAGGCACACGCACACGCGCACGTGCACGCACATGCACACGCACACACAACATAAAGGCACAAGAAGAAGAAGAAAAGGACACAAAAACTTAACTACTAGTCTTACCACCGTGCATGCTGGCTTTTCCTTACAAAAAAAAAAAAAAAAATCAGCTGAATAATAATAATAATAATAATAATAATAATAATTATTATTATTATTATTTAAAAATGAGGAACGTGAAATGAAAAAAAAACATTCAAAATGCGATACAGGTACGACGAACTAATGTAATGATGATAATAATAATAATACCTACCCGCGTTAAATAAAACTAAAAAAAAAAATTTTCTTCTCACATTTAAAAAAAAAAAAAAAAGAAATAAAGCGTTTGATTACATTTTTCCATGCTTTTCTTTTTTTTCGAACCTAGACTACTTGGTAGGTACCCTAGTTAGTTAGGTAGTTAGGTACTTACCTCGATTTTGAGGAACTCGATTTGTGGGTGTTGGGAAATTATTATATAGATTGGGTTGAACTAACGGAGTAACGTTCGGCATTGTCCATTTGGACCTTTGCGGAAAAACCCCTCGACCGTTGTTTCCGTATTGTGTTATCGGATCGACCAATCCTGGACCTATAGGTGGAGCAGGGGTATAGCTGCTGCTCCCCTTCACGATAGCCCGACCTAAAAAAGTTTGTTCGCGGTCGTTAATTTACACTTTTTTCATTATAATTGTTTTTCTTTTTTTTAAAGGAGAGAGAGAGAGAGAGAGAGAGAGAGAGAGAAAGAGAGAGAGAGAGAGAGACTCGTAAAATCACGTTATTTTCCCGACCAAAAAAAAAAAAAAAAAAAAAAAAAAAAAAGAAAATTCAGGTATAAAGGTAACGATGGTAGAACAAACTTTCCAGGTCAATAATGTGTATAAAATAGCATCATCATCATCATCATCTAGCTTACTTAATTTAAAACTACTTTTCTTTTTTTTTGGTTTTTCCAACTTTATACAAAAACTTAAGTTGAATTACTTATTACCGTTACTGCCAATATTAAGGGATGTCTTCTTACGAAAAAACGTTTTTTTTAAAATAAAATCAACTACGTTAATCAAATTAAATGCAATGATCGAATTGCGTATGGAGCGTTCTATCTACGATGGAGGATGGCTTTCTAATAAAAAAAAAAAAAAATTGATTGGGCCCCAAATGAGCAAATCGCATATTTTTGTCATTTTCAAAATTAGTTTTAAGGTTGTTTATACATTTAAAACAGATTATTAGTAAATGGAAAAGTCAACACTCAACATAAACATAAAAAAAAAAAAAATACAATTTGCTCTTTGCTCCCTTTTGAATTTGACTTACCTTGTTGAATCGGTTGCTGTTGTATGGGTTGCTTTTGAACCGACCATTGTTGCTGCTGAGAATTTCTCAGTCCCAATAACTGATTATTTGCTAAGAATCGGCTAGATTGCGTCGCTTTGAACAACTCGTTTTGACGCTGCAATTTAGCCTGAAATAACTCGTTGTATTTATTCAATTTGTTACCGTCTCCATCCTTGATTTGAGGCTGTTGATCGGCAGTCATTTTACGAAGGACCGAGGTAGGCGTGAATGCGAGGGGAGTGGGAGACGACTTCGTCGTCGCGCTCACGCTCGTTCTCGTCGTTGTCGTCGAAGTGGACGTCGCGGGCGAACACGGAACGTTTCCACCACCCATCGACGAGTTGGTACTGTTACCGACGGTGGTACCTCCTCCAACGTTTCCATTGCTTGTACTCATGATACCCTTATTGTCGCAGTTATTGTTATTGTTGTTGATGTTACTCAGGTTGCTCAATGACGAAGTATTCGTGAGATTTGAATTATTAACGGATGAGGTCGGAGGATTTGGTGATTTCGCACCGACAACCACGTTGGGTGAAGCGGCTCTAAAAATAAATCGTATTAATGACGTAATAGTTTTCCTTTTAAACAAGAAATCAACCTTTGACGTTATTACCTTTGTAATTCTTGACGTTTTCTAAAATTTTCTCTTTGCTCTTCGAGTTTTTTTTTTATAAGAGCTGACTGCATAATTGTTTGAGTATGAAGCATGAGTTCGCGAGGGGACGGTACTCTATGTGGCAAACCTTTAAATCAAAAAAAAAAAAAAAGATAAAATGATTAATATCTCGTAAATAATTTCCTTTGACATATCCATCCTTTTTTGCACAACAGAAAACATTAAATATAAATAATTCTTGTTTTTTTTGGGCTGAGGCTTGATTTAGATAGAAATAAATAAATTAGAAGATTTCTGTTTGTAAAGAAAATCAAAAAAAAAAAAAAAAAAAATTTAAATTATATAAAACACATCGAAGCACATATAATAAATAATAATAATAATCATTTTGGAATATATATATATTGTTGTTTTCAATTACCAATTATTTTTATAGAAATCTTTTTACGCTTTTGAGATTATCTATGAGAAATCTAATTTCGTTTGTTCAAATTTAACTTTTAAACAGTGAAAAAAAAAAAAAAGAACATAAAAGCCAAAAAAAAAAAGAAGCGTTGTAATAAAAATCAAAACGATTGAAAAAACATCCATCGATTAAATCTAATCTAATGATGTACCTGAATGTTGAACCGTTAAAGTGATCGGACTTGTTCCTAAAGGGTTCGGTGAGATCATGGATGATTGACAGAAAGCTATAAAAATAATTAAATCCCTAATTACCTGGTTTTAACCTTTTTTTTTTTTTTTTTTTTTTTTCAAAAAAAAACGTTTCATAGTAGAAATAGTACTCATATATCGTGGGGTTACTTTGAATGACCATAGAATAATGATAATAATGATAATAATAATTAATTTTTTGAAATAACACTTACCGTTAGGCATTGGAGGCATCGGACTTGGATTTCTCAGCTGTTGTTGAAGCATTAATTGCTGAATTAAAGTAGGATCTGGAGAGACCATTAATGGACTTGCGGGACGAGGAGAACTTCCGTGAAGTTTTAAAATAGACGCTAAAACTTCGCGATGTCGCGGTTGCATTGCTGGATTTTGCAATTGTTGAATCAAATGTTGAGGAGTTATCTCTCCCTGACGTAATCCTATTAAAAATTTTGTGTTTACGAAGGTTTGACGAAACGAGTTAACTTATCACACTAATATTATATACTATGTGTAATTAAAACCACACCACCGTGGGATTCTCCTTTTACCTTGCAGAATTGCTTGAGCTTCGGGTCTAGAAAGCAATTCGGCCGAAGGCTGAGAATTGGCCACCTTCATTTGCAAATCAGGCGGCAAAGGAGAAAGAGTTCCGGAAACGTGAGGGGGAGCTAGACGTCCGCTTGAAAACAGTAATTTATTAAATTCTTGCTGTTGTTGAACCTGACGTTGTTGCTAAACAAAAATTTCTCTCATAAATTTTTGACTTTTTTTTTTTTTTTAAAATACAATATTATAAAAATAATTTACCTCTTGAACGTGAAGCAATTTATATACAAGATCCTGTGGCACGTGCATTGAAGGTACAGTAGCAGGTTGATGAGCTTGTCCCATCATATCCGAAGGTTCCGGTGGCTTATTCAACATCTTGAAAAAAAAAAAAAATATATATATATATATATATAATTAATTTATTTAAAATTAGGTTATCGCGTGTCTCGCATTTCTTATTTTCACTTTAATTACTTTTTTAAAATATATATATATATATATATGTACATAATGCGAAAAAATAAAATAACAATCTAATAAGCAAATATTACCTGATATAATAAGCAGGAAGCGGGAGAACGATTGAATTGATCGTTGGCCGTTGTCACTCCTCCCTCGGCAACCTGCTTTAACTATGTAAAAAAAAAAAAAAATACAACCAAAAAAAAAAAAAAAAAAAAAAACGACTTAAAATACTCATTTCAAGCGATACTAATAAAAAAAAATAAAATAAATACTCATGACAACAATAACAATGATAACTTGAACTAAATTAAAAAAAAAAAAAAAAAAAAAACTACAAATATATATAAGATGTTGAGAATCCCATAATATTTACATGATTTTTTTTTTTTTTTTTTTTTTAATCGAAAGTATACTCGATACAACAAAACAAAAAAAGCCATTTAGCTACATAGATAATAAAATAAAATAAAATAAAATAAAATAAAGCTTTCATTTAACGATATAAATTACCAGTTTTTTAAAAGCAATGAGCTCCTCTTCTTTTCTATTAGACGAAATCGGTTTTTTCGTTTGAGTTTGAGATATTTGACTAGTTGAACTTTGCCCTGCACCCTGACGCATCCTAGCTTCTAATTCTTCAACACTGGTAACTTTTCCGCTAGCCTCTAAAAATTTCAAAAAAAAAAAAAAAAAAAAAACGTTTATTAAATACCTAATTTACATCGATTACAAATACGATCGAATAAAGTAAAGGATGGTGACGACATGCAAGGAAGTAGACAAAGTTGACAAGATGGGAAGGGGGGGGTGATGTTTAAGGGTAAAATAAGCAGAGACATGGAGTCGAGGATTTGTTTGAAATTTAATTTCGAAAGTGAAAAAGCTCTCGGGAAGTTTCAGGAAGGGAAAATTCTTCTTTACATTTCAATTCCCATACCTAAATCTTTTATCGATGGAGCTTTGCTGTGATGTTCACTTTTCGCATGACTGTTCTGTAGTAATTCTAACAATGAATTACCTGAAGTTGTACCGGCAGGTGAAATGGGCGCAAAATAGGCATCCGATTCTTTCGCGTTTGGAATGTTGATTGAAGGTTCGCTGATATCTACAGGTATTTTGTTACGCATTTTCGATAAATCAGTGTGAACAATAATTATATATCATATTAAGGGGGAAAATTCGTTCGTGACGAATACAACAGTTTTATTTTATTATTATTATTATTATTATAATGTGAAAACATTTATTCATTCTGCTTACCGTTAATAATATTCTTAATAAGTTCGTCTTGAATGGAAGATCGTCTCGTATCATTGACATCCGATGGGGAATCTCGACGAAACCATTGAGAAAATCTCGAACTCGATTGATTTCCTTCGCCTCCCCCACCATTCTGATTAAAAAACATTTTTTTCAATTTCAAAAATATTGTGATATATATATATATATATATAAATAAAAAAAAAAAAAAAAAAATAATAATAATAATAATAATAATAATAAAAATCTTATATACTATATAACTAATAATAAAACTATTGAGAAAAAAAAATTCAATTAGTATAATTTTTATATTTAAGTAATAAATAAAACATTATTTTATGCATTCCAACTTAAAACCTCAATCAATCACAACAAAAAAAAATTATTCTTTTGCTTTTTCAATAACAGAGTTAGAAAAGTTGGTGCTACCAACCGTGAGCAAAGGCAAATTATCCAATTGTAAAAAATCTTCCAGATTGAGGAAATCGTGGTTACCCGTCCTTTCCGTATTTTCCGCGCTTGAATTTTCCCCTTCGGTTTTTTGCGGTTCTAACTGATCCGCTTTCGGCGACGAACTTGCCGTCGGCATCTCCGATTCGATTTCTTTATCCGATTTTTTATTTCCATTTCTAGAAACTGAAATTTCTTCAGCGGAGCTTTTTCGACTCCCCGTGTTCGATTTCGAGTCTCTGGAATCTAATTTAATTTTTAATTTTTTAATGAGGGTCTCTCATTGGAATCGGCTTACACGATTTGGTATTTCAAAAAAAAAAAACAAAATACAAACTAGGCTTTGACGATGTTTTGGAAGTGACCTTGGTTTTGTTTCGTGGTACTGACTCCCCGCTATCATCGAAGCCCCTCAATTCAACAGTGTCGTGTTGAGATGTTGGACCACCTGAAACGAAACAACAATTAAGTTACAACAAACAATTCAAATTTTGTACAAAAGAGAAACACAAAAACTTTCAAACTTTGAAACTGTAATGGCTTAAAGAAAAAAAAAACCCAAAATTATTTAATTTCATGACTAATTTTTTTTTTTTTTTATATATCTATCTATCTTTAAAGAAAATAAAATGATCATCAAAGATAATTATTATTATTATTATTATTTGATGTTTAAAAATTTTGTGAAAAACCAATTTTCAATTTTTTAAAAAAAAAAAATTATAAATCTAATTTTTATTAGTCATACAAAGCTTTTGGACAAGTTTTTC